GGAGACAAGAAAGCTCGGAGGAAAGATTGCTCCGTCAGTCGCAAAATGCTGAGACAAGCAGAGCAAGAAGGGAGCGAGAAAGCTTCGGAAGAACGACGGAATCGTCTGCTGGAAGTTGCTGAAAGAGCCAGGGCTAGAAGAGAGAGAGAAGATTCGGAACAACGAAGAGCTCGCCTGTCGCAACAGGCTGCTCAAACCTGGGCGAGAACAACGCGAGGACGACTGCGAAGGACCGATTCAACAGTTGCTGCAGTGGAGGAAGTACCGGAAGAACCACATGCACCCGAAGAACCACATGTGAATGTTAGAGTTGTTGCCGTTGGAATGAGAAGAGTTGCACGTTCAAGAGCTGACCCAGAAGGAGCATTATGCTGGGCCATGAAGCGTGGAATGCGGGAGTTGTGGAGCTCTGCATTTCAGGATCGGAGAAGAAACCAGGCAGAGTTACATTTAACGACTGTTGTAATCACGGAACTATTACATTGCAGCATTTCAACAACTTTCCCTCCCTACTGCATCGTCTGTTAACGAGTCAAGATGCTGTTTCGAAGGAATTCCGTGAACATATCCGAAACTATAATAGCGCCTTTGCATTCGCATCAATTGGGGCTCAGCTACAGACGCTTCGAAGAGGGCCTTACTGCTACAGAATTCATGGCCAGATATATCATAAAATCGGACCTGCACGGCCGGAGCAGGGTCGACGCCCTTTATACGGTCAAATTTATATCCTTGACACAGCAATGGCGGCTGAAGAAAGAACGAGGACAATCCTGCAAACGTAAATTGCAACCCTGCTCTCATTGGTTCCCTCAGTGCACTGTTCCATGACATTAACCCGTTTGCGCAAGCATACAAAATGCTGCACACAGTAGCTCTGGAATGAAGAAGCTCGAGCTGCAAGAGAAGGAAGATCAGCAGTACCTGTGAAAATGGTGTTTGAAACGTCTAACTTGGATCCACGCCGATACAACGAGCCTACAGCAAATGAAGATAGCGGTGGTTTACGTGGGAGAAGAAGGAGACGTGCCAGCTGAACACAGTCTAGCTGTGCATCTACAATCAGGAGGTTTACAAAATATCCGTGTATATGATCCAAAATGTGACCCTCTGTCATATCCAATTTTATTTCCTCGCGGAGAGCTTGGCTGGAATCCGAATATGCGGAAAAACCCACAGGGAAGAAGACGAACCAGAATCACTCAGAAGGAATATTACTCGAATATGATTTCCGTGAGGGCTGGATTCAACCCTCTACACTCGGCAGGGAAAGCTGTACCAGCAATTCTTGGTGGACAGCTATGTCAAAATAGAACAAAACCGACTGAATTATGATCGCACTCATCAAAGAGAGCTTCGCGTGGATACTTATCGTGGCCTCGCAGACTTTGTAGCAGGAGACCTGAACATTGCAGGCCCACCAGGCTCGAGGAGAATCATTACTGCCATCGTCATTTCCAGGATCTCCACGGGCATGGTGCAAAATTATCAAGATGCAATGGCGATAGTGTCGAAATATGGGAAGCCGGACCTCTTCATTACGTTCACGTGCAATCCCACATGGAAAGAGATAACTGAACAACTACACGTGGGTCAAAGAAGTACTGATCGGCCTGATATTGTTGCTCGCGTTTTCCATATTAAACTACAGGAGCTCTTTGTTGATCTCTTCAAACGGCACATATTCGGGAAAGTAATTCGCTCATATTAGTGTGATGGAATGGCAGAAAAGAGGATTACCGCACTGTCATATTTTGTTAACGCTATCTGAAGAGGACAAGCCGAGAAGCGTCGCCGAGGTAGACTCAATCGTGCATGCTGTCATTCCTGATCCGGAAACAGAGCCTCGACTGTACCATATTGTGACGACGTGCATGATACACAGGCCATGTGGACTAGAAAATCCAAATGCACCGTGTATGGTTAACGGACAATGCTCCAAAAGATTCCCGAAGCCTTTTAGAGAGACAACAAACTTGGAACTCGACAGCTACCCGGAATACAGGAGGCCGAACGACGGAAGGACCATCATATCTGGCAGCACTACTCTAGATAACAGATCTGTTGTGCCGTATAACAGATACTTAGCACTTCGTTACAATGCCCACCTCAACGTTGAAGTCTGTGAAATGATTCATGCCGTCAAATACATGTATAAGTATGTGTACAAGGGCCCAGATAGAGCGGCGTTGCACATGGTACAAACCGCAGTTGATGAGGACCGCGTGGTGAACGAAATTGACGCGTTCGTCAATGCGAGATACGTCTGTGCGCCCGAAGTCTACGCACAGATTGCTTGGATTCGATCTGCAATCCAAATCGGACACCGTTTACAGACTGCAAGTTCCATCTGCCTGAACAAGAGAGGGTCACATTCCAAAGCGGTCAAGAGGAAGAGGCTCTTCAGCGAGCTGCCCAACAGGAAACCACTCTTACAGCGTATTTCAAATTGAATGCAGAGCATGACGCTCTTTACGGAAACGGAAGTGCACCTCGAGGAGATGTCGACGGCCGAACATTACACTACGTCCAGCTGCCGGAGCACTTCACATTCAGCGAAGGAAGGAAGTGGGTCCTGAGAAAAAGGCAAGGTCGCCAGATAGGGAGGATGTATACCGCTAACCCACTGGACAATTGAGCGCTACAGTCTAAGAATTCTATTCCTCAAGATAAAGGGAGCACAATCATTCGAAGACCTCAGGACTTGCAGCAAACCGGAACGCACCCTTATAGCACCATTTTAAAGAAGCCGCTAAACGCCCCGCTCGGACTAAATCGCACGGCCACACCCGACCCACAGCCTCCGACGACTCACACTATGAAAGTTGTCTTAGAGAGGCAATGCAATTTCAAATGCCGCTGCAACTCCGTTCGCTGTTTAGCAGTGTTATCTGCTTCTGCGATATTACTGATCCTGAGCCTCTTTGGGAACAGTTCAAGTCAGCTATGTCCGAAGACTACGTCCATCGTGGCATGGACGAGCAAGAAGCCATAATTCGGACATACTTTGACATCATGGATAGGATGCAGATCTGTGGAGTTGATTTGAGGAGTTTAATTGCTCCTCCTGCAGGCAATAGACCCGCATATATAGGCGAAGACCATCTCTCAGAGGGACAACACATTGAGATGGGTGCAGAAATGTTAGGTCGACTAAACGAGCAGCAAAGGTCTGCAGCAGACGACATTTTGGAAGCTGTGGACGCACGGCAGACAGGAAGAAACTTCTTCATAGACGGCCCAGGAGGAAGTGGAAAAACATTCCTCTATACAGCGCTGTACCACACTTTCACAGGAAGAAGGAAGAAAGTCATCTGTGTAGCATGGACAGGTATAGCTGCCAACCTGTTACCTCACGGAAGAACAGCAAGCAGCACGTTCAAATTGACTATTCACGACAACAGCAGAACAAGCGTCATGAGGAGAGAATCTGCAGAAGCCAAAGCTCTGCGAGACACTTCAGTTATTTTTTGGGACGAAATATCGATGGTACCTAAGTGGACGTTGGAAGCGGTGGACCTCTTGCTGAGAGACATAATGCAAAATGAGCAGCCCTTTGGCGGAAAACATATGATTGTAGGGGGAGACTTTCGACAAGTGCTTCCTGTTATTGAGAGGGGAAGACAGGAGGATTTGGAGAGCGCATGTATCAAAAACTCATATTTGTGGCAACACTTCACCACATATCACCTTTCCGTGAACATGAGAGCAACTTCAGATGGATACGAATGGGCGGGGATGCTGCTGGAGATCGGCGAAGGACGATATGACCAGGACGAGAACGGTTTCATCGAGCTACCATCACAATTTCATAGCACAGGAGATCTGATCACCGACATCTTTGGAGAAACCATCACAGTTGACGAAGAATTAGCGCAAAAAGCTATCCTTGCTCCTAAGAACATGCATGTAGCGCACATGAACGACTTAGCACTACAGCGGATGCCACAGCACTTGGAAATGAAGGTATACAAAAGCGTGGATGAGGCAGAGAACGCGGATCCTGCAGACGCCTTCACTTACCAAGTAGAGCATCTCAACAAAGCTACTGCCGAGTGGAATGCCGCCGCATGAGCTCAAGTTGAAGAAGGGCTGCATTGTCATGCTGCTCGCAATCTAGACGTATCAAACGGCCTGTGTAATGGCACAAGGCTAATTGTTGATCACTGTGGACAGTATGTTCTTGGATGCAGGTTCGCAACTGGGAACAGGATAAATCAGTTCGTCCTCATTCCTCGTATAGACAACTATACGGATAAAGGGCTTCCATTTCGACTTCGAAGGCGGCAGTTTCCAATTCGTCTCGCATTCGCTACTACTATAAACAAAGCCCAGGGCCAAACTTTAGCAAATGTAGGAGTGTATCTTCCCGACGACGTATTCTCTCATGGACAGCTTTACGTAGCTTTGTCAAGAGCTAGAAACCCCGAATCAGTG